ATAAAAATATTTAGTAGATTTTCAGCTGATAATTAATTAATTAAGGGCAACAATTTGACTAACGTTATAAAGGAAGGAAGGGCGTCCTCTACTGGTTGTATAGTAGCTACGCTAGACTGCTGGATATTCAATGGAGCACATTATTATCATATCGAGTTGCTACTATAATTATGGCCATCAGGAAGCATCCAGCAGATTTTAGATAATACGGATATTAAATTGATTATTGGCGATCGTAGCTTCTTATGCCATCATCGAGTCGTTTTAGCTGCACATAGTGAATATTTGTGTACTATGTTTACTAGTAATTTTAAGGAAAAGGACGAAGCAAAAATTAACGTAATTAAGATTGATTATAGCATTGTATCGATCGTTATTAAATAAATTTATGGTTATATGCTAAAGTTAACATTAATGAAATTATCGCGAGTTCAGGCAGTCTATACGCTAGCACTAAAATAGGCTATCAAGAAATTGCAGGAGCAATGCCATTGCTACTTTATCACAATCTTAAACGCTAAAAATTGCTGTCAATTAGCAGCTTTTGCTGATTACTATCATGCACAAGATTCATAGCATGAAATTCTAGCTTAAGTCACTGACAATTTCTTTAGATGTATCAAGACTAAATCACTTAAGGATCTCTCCTATAATTTACTTGTTAAATTAATACAATGTGAGTATCTTAATATCACTAATGAAGATCAGATACTTAAATCTCTCAATATTTGGATAGATTCAGATACATCCATGTGAGGTTGATAGATCAAGAATCTTTAAAACTTTAGAAAATTAAGATTATATTGAACAAAACCTCCTTTACAAAGATACAACGTAATCGATTAGCTGAGGATCTCTAACGAGAAAGATCTATCTTACTATATTAAACTACTCGCTTATATACTTTTACGTGTTTACAGTCTTTGCACCTTACTTACTACACACTTCAGTATTAGCATCTCAAATACAGGATAGTTTGCACCTTTCATGTGAAGCTCTAGTGTGAGCACG